ACTGTGCCAGCTTCTCACTCAGACTCTCAGAATGCCTCCTCAACAAAACCCTGTGAGGGGATGCCCTGCCTCACTAGCACACAGGAGCCTCCTGAGCTCTCCCTAGGAAATGGTTATCAAAGGGTGGAGCTGGGGGAAGCCCAGACAGAACCAGTGAGTCCCGGCATCTCCCTGGACTCCCTCCACTCCTCACATGGGCCCAGGGAGGAAGTAAGCAGCCTCCTAATCCCCTGGATAGGGTTCCAGTCCTGTAGGCCTGGACGCTCTCATTTCCTGCTGCCATGCGGGGTGACAATGCAAACCCAGACACCTGATTTGCCATCCTTCAATGCCAGACCAGGCTCAAAGGCCTTTGCTGACACAACCCAGAGGGTGCTCAAAGCCCATCTTGGCACAGTCACTCATAACGTAGTGGGACGAGCAAGGAGGTACAGGTAGGCCCAAATCCCCATGAGCCTGGCCTCCAGAGCCCACAGCCCTCCTTCAGGAGCCCTGCACACACAGCCCCAGGGAGCAGTGCTCAGATGGGCAGACAGGCCCACCAGCCCTGAGGACCCAGGAGACCCCCACATGAGGCTCTGGCCCACATTGCAGGGCTTTTGCACCGACCAGCCCCCACTGCTTTCTGGTGAGTGTCGGAGTTGAATTCAATGTCGAAGGCCATGCAGCTGATGGAGCTGACTGCCTTGCACACATTGTCACTCCCCTCCTGACTCCAAGGGTCTGCTGCAGAGATACGACTTGATGGGAGGTAGCCCTGCTCCACCATCAGTGGGGCCGGGCAGCCCTGAGCCACGCCCCCCACTTTCCTGCAGAGATGTCTGCCTGCTTCTCTCGGGCTGAGTTATGCACCATCCCTGGCAAGGACCGGCCGCCAGGACCGGCTGGGCACTCTCCCCCAGCATCCTCAGCAGCCCCGCCTGTGGTGTCACTGGTGTCAATCTCCATGAGAAGATTATGGGAGGTTTTTTTTGGGGGGACGGAGTTTCGCTCTTGTTACCCAGGCTGGAGAGCAATGGTGCGATCTGGGCTCACCGCAACCTCCGCCTCCTGGGTTCAGGCAATTCTCCTGCCTCAGCCTCCTGAGTAGCTGGGATTACAGGCACGTGCCACCATGCCCAGCTAATTTTTTGTATTCTTAGTAGAGATGGGGTTTCACCATGTTGACCAGGATGGTCTCGATCTCTTGACCTCGTGATCCGCCCGCCTCGGCCTCCCAAAGTGCTGGGATTACAGGCGTGAGCCACCGCGCCCGGCCAAAAATTGGTTTTCATTGGAGAGAGTGATTATCAATATAACTTTCAGATCAGTTAATATAAAAGGCATACAGTATCTACAGGTGAGATAATTAAATCAGCATTGTTTTTTGCTGTTTGTAAAAGGAAAAGCATTAAATTCTTACACAAAGTGTGGCAAATATAAAATTTGCTAGAAAATATGTCTTAGAAATTATTAAGAGAAGTAATGGTAAGTGAAGACTTTTACATTTAATTTTCCCTGATATAGCACAACATACATTTCCATGCAGAAATGTATGTTGTGCTATATCAGGGAAAATTATTATTATTATTATTATTATTTGAGACGGAGTTTCGCTCTTGTTCCCCAGGCTGGAGTGCAATGGCGCCATCTCGGCTCACCGAAACCTCCACCTCCTGGGTTCAGGCAATTGGAAAATTATTTTTAAGTGTGAAGGTTAAAGGTTGCAAAGTAATAAAATGACCTCTGTGGATTTGATATTTTTAATATTTCTTTGCCATATTGATACTCAGAGGAATTTTTTACTCATGATTTTTCTTTAGTGGGCGAAGGTCAGTGTACAGTTTTCATTCTTAGTCACTTAACTGTAGTTACCTTCGTGGTCATTTTGTCCAGAAAACTTTTGAAGATGATGGCAGCTTTTGGATTAAACCATTTTATGTTATTTTTATGCAAATTTGTTTATCGTGTTTACAGAATAGCCAGTTATGACAGCATAAGCAACACCTGCTTATGGTCTCTTTTATGCCATTACCATCTGTAATAAATAAATGTGTACTTATTCTGTAAAACTTGGTATTTGGAAGTATATATACATTGTCAAATGCTGTAAAAAAGATCTCTTAGGCCGGGCGCGGTGGCTCAAGCCTGTAATCCCAGCACTTTGGGAGGCCGAGGCGGGTGGATCACGAGGTCAAGAGATCGAGACCATCCTGGTCAACATTGTGAAACCCCGCCTCTACTAAAAATACAAAAAATGAGCTGGGCTTGGTGGTGCGTGCCTGTAATCCCAGCTATTCAGGAGGCTGAGGTAGGAGAATTGCCTGAACCCAGGAGGCCGAGGTTGCGGTGAGCCGAGATCGCGCCATTGCACTCCAGCCTGGGTAACAAGAGTGAAACTCCGTCTCAAAAAAAAAGAAAAAAAAAAAGATCTCTTAAACCTATTCCTTCTATTCAACTACAGTTATGTATTTTTTGACTGCCATCTTTTCAGACTCCCCTTTGTTCTAAGCAACTCGATGTCTGCTGATCACCCCTTTATTCTCTTCTTTAACAGGATTACGTTTTTTAGAAACCCTGTGTAAATTATGAAATAATAATCCTCGTGCCTGCCTCATTTTGACAAATATAATGTCCTCCAGGTTAACTCACGTGATTGAAAATAATAGAAATTTCTTTTTTAAACGTTAATAGTATTCCATTGTATATATATGCACATTGTCTTTATTCATAAATGTTGAACTGTTGACTCTGTATTTTGCTAGTTGTGAAGAGTATTGCAAACAACATAGAAGCACAAATGTTTCTTCATTCTGAATTCATTTGTTTTGGATATACAACCAATAGTAAAATTGCTGTATTATACGGAGGTATAATTTTAAATTTTTTGAGAAATTTTTGTTGTTCATAATGACTGTCCCCGTTCACATTCAGACAGTGTGCCAACATTCCCTTTTCTTCACACTTTGACACTTTCTTTTCTTTTTAATAAGACTAATTCTAACAGGAGTGAGTTGATAATCTCCTAGTTTTTCTTTTTGCTTTCCTGATCATTGTTGATATGGAGCATTTTTTGTGTATCTCTTCGCCATTTGTATGTCTTTTCTTGAAAAATATTTAAGCCTTTTGCTTATTTTTAATAGTTACTTATCTTCCATTGTGTAGTCATTTAAGTTTTTTATATATTTTTGTTATTAATCCCTTGTCTCATGTATCATTTGCAAATATTTTCTCCCATTTTTTTTAGTTGTCTCATTCTGTTAATTCTGTCAGATTCAGTGAAGCAACTTTTTAATTTCAAGTAATATGACATGTATTTTTCATTTGATTTACTTGGATTTTGAGGTTAAATAATAAAAGTTATGGCCTAGATCAATGTTTTGGGCTTTCACTCTATATTTTTTATAGTAATTTTAAAGTTTCAAGCCTTACATTTAAGTATTTAATTTGAGTTAATTTTTATATATGGTGTGAGGAGAGGGTATCATTTTATTTCTCTGCATGTGGATATAAAGTTTTCTCAACTTCATTTTTTGAAGATACTGTCCATTTTAATAGAAATTCTTGCCTATATCTAAAATAAGTTAGCTTAAATATGTGGATATATTTTTTATATCTTTTCTGCTCTGTTGGCCTATGTGTCTGTTTTTATTAAAGTACCATTCTGTTTTTGTTACTATAACTTTATAGTATATATTTTTAAATTTTGAGATGGAGCCTTGCTCACCCACCCAGGATTGAGTGCAGTGGTGCATTCTCAGCTACTGCAATCTCTGCCCCTGGGGTTCAAGAGATTCTCCAGCCTCCACCTCCTGAGTAGCTGGTAAATCAAGCACACACCACCCCATCCAGCCAAATGTTTTTTGTATTTTTAGTAGAGATGGTGATTTATCATGTTGGCCAGGCCACTCTCAAACTCCTGACCTAAAGTAGATGTGAAAAACTGGAAACCATGAAGCTTTGAGCCCCACTCTTCTGCAGGAGCAGGTGGCTGTGCTTGGCATGGGCTCCTCATTGCTTAAAATGGAGCCCCCTCTTCCTGCTGGTGGTCTCAGGGGTGAGTCACAGGGGTGCGGTCGCAGCCAGGCCCGCGGAGGATGATGTCTCCTGGGCTAGGCTGGAAACGAGACTTGCAGCCAGACAAGTTAATGACTTCTGACCTGCCTCTGCCACTGCCAGGCTAAACGAAACGACTCCGGCCACATGGCTCTCTAAGCTGCCTTTTCCTTATCTGTAAAATGGAGACAATGATATCTCTTTCCCAGAGTAGCTATTGGGGTTTAGTAAGACGTCAGCCTGAGGAGTTGGCATGTGTGTTCTCTGGTGTTGCCCGATGGGAACAAATGAGAACAATTGTTTGTGAGTTTTCCCTGGTCTATGGGACCTTCCTGAGGGCACAGGGCAAGGACCAGTTGTCAGTTGGCTCAGGACCCAGCAGACACAGCACAGCCAGAATGAGAAGGGGCTGGGCCTGCATAGGGACTGGAATCCAGGCATCTGGCCCCAGTTTTTCTGGTTCTGTCTTCTTCCCCACCTTTTCCAAAGTGGCCCAAGGATCAGATTTGCCTTGATCCTTGTGGTGGCCCTGTCTGAACAAGCAGCCTCAGACTTTCTCTGGTGCCAGCTGTGAGACTCAGAGGGAAGAACTGGTCACCAGTTTCTGCTTCAAGTAGGTAGGGAAGAAAGGTGCCGCATGCAGCTACTTCGTATGGTCACCAGGCAGGCACTGCTCCTGCTTAGCGGTCACCTCAGCTAAGCCGCACAGGCACAGAAAGGAGTGCCTCGCCCCAGGCTCACAGCTGATAAGTGGGGTGTGGGGAGAGGGGGTGCTGAAATCCACATTTGTCTAAACGTTCAGACCCATGTGCATTTCTCCATTTAAGCCACACCCGTTCCCTCCTCGATGACAGCCTGGGCTGCTGCTCCTGCCTCTCAGTGGCCTCTTTTCTCCCAGCTACCTGCCCCTTAGGAAGCTCCATCTTGCACTTTCAAACCAGCATCCCGATCAGTCCTTCACCTACCTGTGCTTCCAGTGACTCCTGCTGTCATGAGAGAATGACCCTGGCTCCTAGGTGCCCATACCTTTGTGGCCCTGAGCATGCTGACGAAAATAAACCTGCATGCCTCCTTTCCTTCCGGTGAAAAGAAGTCACCTAAAAATAGCCGTCATTTAGGAGAAATCAGAGTATCCTCTTTCGTAGTTAAAAAACAGTATTCAGGCCAGGCGCAGTGGCTCATGCCTGTAATCCCAGCACTTTGGAAGTCCGAGGTGGGTGGATCACCTGAAGTCGGGAGTTCAAGGCCAGACGGACCAACATGGAGAACCCCTGTCTCTACTAAAAATACAAAATTAGGCAGGTGTGGTGGCAGATGTCTGTAATCTCAGCTACTCGGGAGGCTGAGGCAGGAGAATTGCTTGAATCCAGGAGGTGGAGGTTGCAGTGAGCCGAGATCATGCCATTACACTCCAGCCTGGGCAACAAGAGCAAAACTCTGTCCAAAACAAAACAAAACAAAACAGTATTCAACCCTAAAAAGAAAGAAAAAGATTCTCCTGAATGCTGCCACAATGGAAAATGAGCACTGGAATCTGATAGGCCTGCCAGGGTTGCTGAGGGAGATTACATGAGTTATTATGTGATTTGCTTAGCAACAGTGCTTGGCTCATAACTGCTCAGTAAAATCAGCTATTCTTATTTTTATCTGTAAGTAGAAGAGAAACAAGGAATGAATCCATGGCTCACCTTGGATGAGCATTCTCTCTGCTTCTGCAGGATGAGTTCAGTGTCATTTTCCAGGGACTTAATGAAGCATCCTTGTTCTTCTGGGGTGGTACCCAAGATTCACTGTCTCACGGCTACAAAAATCTAGGACACGGACACACAAGAGTGAGGTTAAGAGCAGAAGTGTAATAGGTGAAAGAGAATAGTTCCCTCTGCTGCAGAGAAAGGGGTCCCAAATGGGCTGCTGGATCCACACTGAAATGTAGGGGATTTTATAGGTGACTGAGCAGGGGGTGGTGTTTGATTTACATAGGGCACGAAAGATTGGTTGGACAGGTGTGTCATTTGTATAGAGCATGAAAAATTGGTTAGAACTAAATGTGTCATTTGCATAGGGTGCACATTTCTGGCCACCCGCACCCTAATCTTATATTACACAAGCAGGTCTTCTTCCTGAACTGCACCATGCTGCCCATTCCTTTACTATACGCAAAGTAACAACAACAACAAAATGGAGCCACACGTTGGACATGCCTGGCTCCCAGGTAGTCCTTTTCTATTGGCACAGCTGCCGGCTTTCACCCTTCCAATTCTCAGCTTGCTTATCTATGTTTGCAGCTCCATTTTTAGGCCGATCTTGGTTAGTAAAATATAATAATTTTTTTTGGCTGCTTTTTGCTTAAAGGGAAGCTCTGCCAGGACTCTTACGCTCACTATCTGCCAAATAATTTGTTTCTACTTCCTGTGTCATTAAGACTCATCATCACTCAGAGACCACCTAACCCCGTGACATTTTGATATAACCCCTTCCAAAAGTGTTTATTTTTCACAACTCTGAACACGCATTGCCTACCATTTTTTCACTGAACACAATGTATCATTAACATATTTCCATAACTTAAAAGAAGTTGTGTGCCAGAATAGTCCATCATTTTCTGTTTTCTTTCAGTAAATAGAAATCTTTAGAGATGGAAATTTTACTTACAAGTAGATATCAAGTAAGAGATGCAGCCTCTAGAGGGAGTAGCAACTCATGCATGCTGATTATTTGCTTACTCCTCTGGCTCCCTACTGAAGGCATCCTGAGGGCTGGTATGAACATGTCATGCCACATCCACGCAGCACACAGTAGGCCCACCATAATAGGTTTTGTGGCCAGCATCGCAGAGGCAATGGTGAGTTGCTCTGTCCCTTTCCTTTCCTTTCCCTTCCTCCCTCCCTCCCTCCCTCCCTCCCTTCCTTCCTTCCTCTCTCATGAATCTTAGATCACGGAGAGAAAGGACAGCAGTGAACATAGGTGCTGACGATTCTGGTCCACTGAATCCCACCGTCCCTAGGACAGTAAATACCATCCCAGTCGCCACCAAGCAAGTCACCACAGCATTTCCTGTGTGTTCCAAAATGAATAAACGTGATGAAGCGTAAGTGCAAATAAAATGTCATTTATGGCCAGACGTGGTGGCTCATGCCTATAATGCCAGCACTTCAGGAGGCCCAAAGCAGGTGAATTACCTGAGGACTTTAAGACCAGCCTGGCCAACGTGGAGAAACTCTGCCTCTACTAAAAATACAAAAAAAAAAAAAAGCCTGGAGTGGTGGCATGTGCCTGTAATCCCAGCTACTCAAGAGGCTGAGGCAAAAGAATCGCTTGAACCTGGGAGGCAGAGGTTGCAGTGAGCTGAGATTGGGCCATTTGCACTACAGTCTGGGCAACAAGCGGGACTCCATCTAAAAAAAGAAAAGTCATTTATCATGTTTTTAATCTAAACTGTCACCGCTTAGTTTACTATTTTAAGTTCTTTTTGTTCAGTAGGTTATTTATTTATTTATTTATTTATTTATGATGTAGTCTCGCTCTGCCGCCCCCACTGGAGTGCAGCAGGGTGTTCTGGGCTCACTGCAACCTCCATCTCCTGGGTACAATTAACTCTCCTGCCTCAGCCTCTCAAGTAGCTGACACTGCAGGCACGTGGCACCACACCTGGCTAATTTTTGTATTTTTTAGAAGAAACGGGGTTTCACCATGTTTGCCAAGCTGGTCTCACACTTCTGACCTCAAATGATGCAGCCGCCTTGGTCTCCCAAAGTGCTGGGATTACAGGTGTGAACCACTGTGCCTGACCAAACATTTGTTTTTCTAAAGCGGCAGCCACAGTTCCTGTCTGTCTACATGTATTTTGAACTTTTGTATGTTAAATATAGCATTAAAAAACTTTTTTGTGTTTTAGGTAATCTATGATTGGTATATGCAAACGAACTTTACACATTACTGTAGGGTTCAGCAAATGATGTATCTGATATGACATTTATATGTCTAGTTTTTGATGAATAAATCTTCCTTTAGAAAAAAATTGGGTTCTTTAAAAAATGTGTCCACAACTTCAGGCTTATTTTATAAAATAGCACAACAGTAAAATATATATATATATTTTTTTAGCTCGGCATGGTGGCTCACGCCTGTAATCCCAGCACTTTGGGAGGCTGAGGCAGGAGGATCACCTGATGTCTGAGTTCCAGACCAGCCTGACCAACCTGGAGAAACCCCGAATCTACTAAAAATACAAAAGTAGCTGGGCCTGGTGGTGCGCACCTGTAATCCCAGCTACTCGGGAGGCAGAGGCAGGAGAATCGCTTGAACCTGGGAGGCGGAGGTTGTGGTGAGCGGAGATTGTGCCACCGCAGTTCAGCCTGGGCAACAAGAGCAAAACTCCATCTCTAAATAAATAAATAAATAAAATCGAATTTTTAAAAATATTTTTAAAAAAGTAAAATACTCTTTTGCCATTTCATAAAATAAGCCTGAATTTGCCATATTGTATAAATACTGGTACTCAAATAAAACACCTAGTATTCTAATCAAAATTATTTAGGCAGTATGTTTATATAATTTTATGATTTTTTAACTACAGTGATAGACATTCACAAATCTTTCATAAATCAAACATATTAGTATTAGCTTTTTTTTTTTTTAAGACAGGGTTTCATCATGTTGTCCAGGCTGGTCTCAAACTCCCGACCTCAGGTGATCTGCCCGCCTTCGCCTCCCAAAGTACTGGGATTATAGGCGTGAGCTACCACAACTGGCAAACAACCCTTGACTCAATTCTGCTCTATTTTTTCTTTTTCTTTTTTTTTTTTTTTAATAGAGACAGGGTTTCTCCACGTTGGCCAAGCTGGTCTCGATCTCCTGACCTCAGGTGATCCACCCACCTCGGCCTCCCAAAGTGCTGGGATTACAGGGGTGAGCCGCTGCACCCGGCCGGTATTAGCTAATTATTACTACTACTACTACCACTGTTATTATTATTGGAGACCAAGTGTCTCTCAGCCACCCCAGCTGGAGTGCAGTGGCACAATCTCAGCTCACTGCAACCACTGTCTCCCAGGTTCAAGCGCTTCTCCCGTCTCAGCCTCCCGAGTACCTGTGATTACAAGGACCTGCCATCATGCCCGGCTAATTTTTGTATTGTATTAGAGACGTAATTTCACCATATAGGCCAGGCTGGTCTTGAATTCTTGACCTCAGGTGATCCATCTGCCTTGGCCTCCCAGAGTGTTGGGATTACAGGCGTGAGCCACTGCACCCCACCTAGTATTAGTCTTTATGTAGTAGTTATATATAAAAGATCAAAGATCTGTTCAAAATGGATATTTTTAATTAATAATTTAGTGTTTTCTCTTTTCTTTTTTTTTTTTAGACAGAGTCTCGCTGTGTCGCCCAGGCCAGGCTGGAGTGCAATGGTGCAATCTCGGCTCACTGCAACCTCCGTCTCCCAGGTTCAAGCTGATTCTCCTGCCTCAGCCTCACAAGTAGCTGGAACTACAGGCATGAACCACCACACCTAGCTAATTTTTGTATTTTTAGTAGAGACGGGGTTTCACCATGTTAGCCAGGATGATCTCGAACTTCTGACCTCGTGATCTACCCGCCTCGGCCTCCCAAAGCGCTGGGATTACAGGCGTGAGCCACCGTGCCCCGCCTAATTTGGTATTTTCAAATAAATACACTAAATTTTTGTTTTAATCAGAGTAATTCTGCGGTGAGTGGATTAATTTTTTTTATGGTGTGTTTAAAAACTTTTAATTTAACCTAATAGTGATTGATGGGTAAACAAATTGATTTTTTTCAAATTTCATAGGTCTATTCAATTTTCAAAGATATATTTAATCAGAAAATTTTTGTCTTTCAATATTCTTTCAGAGATTCAGGTCTAGTTGAATCCGCTCAACCTGTTAATCAGTGTCAGGTACCAAATTCCAGTTCACTGTTTCAGAAGATTGCCTCCGTTTTAAAATCTCAGGCTGCCTGCTTAAAGGACCAGAAATTAGAAAGGTCATAAAATCTGAAATTGTTAAATAATTTTTATTTGTTATATATTTTTATTTGTTAATAGCCATATAATTGTGAACCCCAAATATCTGAGACAGGTCTCCGTTAATTTAGAAAGTTTATTTTGAGGCCAGGCGCTGTGGCTCACTCCTATAATCTCAGCACTTTGGGAGGCGCGAGGCCGGTGCATCACCTAGGTCAAGAGTTCGAGACCAGCCTGGCCAACATGGTGAAACACCATCTTTACTAAAAATACAAAAGTTAGCCAGCTACTCTGGAGACTGAGGCAAGAGAATCGCTTCTACCCCGGAAACGGAGGTTGCAATCGTGCCACTGCACTCCAACCTGTGAACTAGCTAGACTCTGTCTCAAAAAAAAAAGTTTATTTTGCCAAGGTTGAGGACCCAGGTTCATGACACAGCCTCAGAAAATTCTGAGGGCATGTGTCCAAGGTGGTCAGAGCACAGCTTGGTTTTATACATTTTAGGGAGACAGAGACATCAATCAAGCTACGTAAGATGAACATTTATTTGTTCGGTCAGGAAAGGCGGGAAAACCGGAAGTGAGGTTGGGCCTTCTAGGTCCTAAGCAGATAAAAGAAAAATGGTTGCATTCTTCTGAGTTCTTGATTCGCCCAGTATCTGATTTCTGACGCCATCAGATTTGCAATCATCTCATCAGCAGAGGGGTGACCTTGAATAGAATGGAAGGCAGGTTTGCCCTAAACAGTTCCCAGCTTGACTTTTCCCTACAGCTTAGTGATTTGGGGGCTCCCCAATTAATTTTTTCACACAATATATTTATTAATATAAATGCATATGACCTTATACACAAGGTTAAATGCAAATACCCTCTTGAGTAGAGGTGGCTCCGGTCAGGGAGAAAGCCCGGCCTGAAAAGGCTGCTGGTTAGCTTTCACGCTATCTTCATTCAAAGCATCTGAGCACGTCTTCTGTCACTCAGGGCCTGAGGGGGGGCGGGTCCTTAAACTTTATCCAATTAGAGATGCTGGGCTGGGACGTCATCCAATCATGTACGCTGGGCTGGGAGCCGTCCAATCAGGCACGCAGCTGGAGCGGACAGGCTGGCTTCCGGGTTTGGCGGGGCCTTTGTCTCAGGCTTCAGCCCAACTTCCAGGTCTCCCGTTCGCTGCTCTGCGTCCTCCGCTCCTGGAGGCCCGGCCTCCGCGGCCCCGTTGCCCGCAGGTTCTGGGAGATCCACAGCTAAGACGCCGGGACCCCCTGGAAGCCCAGAAATGGTGAGAGTGCCGGGTCCGACATCCCGAGAGACGGGGAGGGCCCGGTTGGAACCGGTGGGAAGTGGCTGTGGCGGGACTCGGGCCTCCCCGGAGTGGGCTCCACAATCCGCGCTGCCCGAGTTCTCCTTGGCGCGGCCCGGCCCTCGGTCCCCTTCAGCCATAAGATGGCGGCCGGGCTGACAGCCGGACCCCGGGCGTCCCGTCTCCTCCCTGGGCAGCGACTGTGCCCCGGCCTGGAGCCCTCTCCGGGCAGCTCCGCACCCGCAGGGCCGCATCTCTCCCCGAGCGTGCGGGGACCACGGGAGGGTCGTCGGGGGAGAATCCTGACGCGGGGTGCGGGGTTCCTGAATGGGAAGAGCTTTGGTCCGTGGGGTTCCCAGTCCCTGCTTTTTTCTATTAAAAATGCATGGAAGTCACCGCGAATATGTTAATCAAACATTGAAAAATCATAAAGCACCCAGCTATGATTTGTAGTTCGTGGTCCATGGGAGGAGCTTTAAGGAAAGAATTTTTTAAGGTGTGTGATGAAGAAAATCAAACTCAATAATTGGTTAGTTACCGTTATGTAGACGTTCCAAAATGCCAGCATCCTCGACCTACTTCACGCTCTTTTAGTGTACATTTTAGATAGCGTATTTTAATGAAGCATTTTTTAGACAAAACATTGGATAAGTCTTTAGAAAAATTGTCTTCTGTTTTAAAATAATTCCTGGGAGAAGAAAGCAAAGAATTATCTATCCCCAGACACTGAATTGTAAAATATCTCCATGCCTCTTTTTAAAAAAAAATCTTCCCTAGGCATAGAGATCTTAACAACATGTTTTTGGGTCAAGGATTCCCTTTGCAGACTTTTATGGGGTGATGTTTCTTCAGTGTTTTACTGGTTTTGAGTTTTAGAACTGTCTGAGGATAAACCAAGAGACCAACAATAGCTATGTCTGCTAGAATGTTTAGTGAATATCAGCTCCTGGGTTTTTTTCTCCCATTGGACAGTCGCAGATATGGAGTGTAGCTTCTCAAAAGAGCAGGTGGATGTCGTGGGGCTGAGAGGCATATCCTGTTGCACTTTGTTGTTTTTTTTTTTGCCCGGGCTGGAGTGCAGTGGCGGGATCTGGGCTCACTGCAACCTTCGCCTCCTAGGTTCAAGCGTTCTCTTGTCTCAGCTTCTTGAGTAGCTGGGATCACAAGCACAGGGCAACACGCCTGACTAATTTTTGTATTTTTTGTAGAGACAGGGTTTCACAGTGTCGGCCAGGCTGGCCTTGAACTCCTGGCCTCAAGTGATCTGCCCACTTCGGCCTCTCAAAGTGCTGACATTACAGGCGTGAGCCACCCAGCGCTGGCCACACTTTTTTTAAGAAGCTAACCCCTTCTGACATTAAGATTGTCTTCACCCAACCCAGCTTTCATTTCTTGGAGACAGATTGCTGGTCAGCCAATCAGATGCTGGTATCAAGGGGAAAACACAGAAATCATTTCTTCCCCCTCTATTCGCTAAGATTTGTGAAAGAAAAAAATTGTTTACTACATGATTTTTAATAAAAATTACAAAATAATACGTTTATTGTCTAAAAGGGATTTATACTTTTACTTTTCTTGTTGAGGTATAAAATGTAAACACCTTAAAATGTCTTTCCTTTATATGAACACTGTGTTTGAGTAATTTTGCTGGTCTTTTTAAACACTTAAGTTTCAAAAACCAAGTGAGTACCTCTGACATAGAAATTTAAGCTTCAGCCTGGTGACTCCAAGCTAAGGCTAATATGGAACTCGTAAAAGGGGGTTATTAAAGCTCAGTTAGTTCTTTCTGGGGATCCTCCTCTGCAGATGTCCCAGCCTTCTCACCCCAGCCATGGAAGAAGCCTTTATACTGAGAGAAGCTACAGAGCCCTGGAAAGCTGGGGACCACAGGCAGATGCAGTTAAGGTTAAGATGGAAAGAGATTGGGAGGGTCTCACTGAAGATGAAGTTGTTATTGTTTTAAGGTAGTTTCTAGACTTTATAAAATAAAGTTAAATTTATGTAAGAAAAAGTTTGAATTCCAAAAGAGTATTGCAACAGGCAAAGTACCAACTATAAGATCTTTAAGGACTGCAAAGTTAAGGCAGGCAAGATTTGGAAGAAGGTGAGAGGGGATGGCAAATAGAAGGTGGGAAAATTAGATTTTATATCAGAGAATGTTTTACTCTGAAGTCAGCGTGTTCTTAGCTGGGACATAAAATGGTGCATGTTGGCTCAAACTGAGGGTAGCACAGAGTTCTGAGCCGGTAGGAAAAAGATACACTTAAGTAAAGTTTGATTAAGAAGTATTTTCTCTTAATTACTGAGACCAATTCAGTAATTGTTTTTTTGTTTTGTTTTGTTTTGTTTTTAAAGACAAAAGGAAATATGGAGTCTGTTCGGTTATGTGATGGGTAAGAAAATAGAGCACCATCTAAGTCATAATGGGAGGGTGTTCTTTCCATTACCTGTTTCTGGAGAACACAAAGGATAGAGAATTTTATTAATCACAGCTATTTACCAGGATTATCTATGTAATTCATCTTTCCCCACCTCTTTTCTTTGTCCTATACATTTATTCCATTTGAGTTTTCTTGGGTTGTGTCTTTTATAATAAATTGGTAAACATAACTCCAGCAATGGCTGAATTCTGTGAGTAGCTCTATCAAATTATTGAACTTGAGGAAGGTTATGAGAATCCCCAATTTTTTTTTGTTTGTTTTGTTTTGATTTTTTTTGAGACAGAGTCTCACTCTGTTGCCAGGCTGGAGTGCAGTGGTAGTGTCTCAGCTCACTGCAACTCTGCCTCCTGCGTTCAAGTGATTCTCCTGCCTCTGCCTCCTGAGTAGCTGGAACTACAGGCACGCGCCATCACACCCAGCTAATTTTTGTTTTTTTGGTAGAGACGGAGTTTCACGATGTTGGCCAGGATGGTCTCCATCTCTTGAACTCTTGATCCGCCTGCCTTGGCCTCCCAAAGTGCTGGAATTACAGGCGTGAGCCACTGAGCCTGGCCAGTAGGAGTCCCAAATTTTTAAACAGTAGCCCCAAAGCATTGATGGTCCCATGGAATTTGTAACTGGCATCTGCAATGAGGCAGTGTTGTGGGACTGAGCCCTCAATCAGGGTCTGTGGTGACTCTGGGTGGTTTTAGAATTCAAATGTGAGACAGTTAGTTGGTGTTAGAGAATTGCTTGGTGTTCTGCATTGTCTACAGATTTGGGGCCAGAGGAAAGCTATCACAGAGGCCTGGCCTGGAATGGAACCCTGGGCGTCTGGGAATGGGAGGCTCTGCTCTGCGGTACACAGGCTGTCACACTGCCCATTGTCCTGTGATTCTGGGTCTCCTTCCATGGTAAGAGAGGACTGAAAACTTAGAGGAAGTAAGCTGTGACAGCGGATCCCTTTTATCCACAGTTGGCACTGCAGGATTCCTGCCCACTCACAGACATATCTACTAGACATTGATGTGTCCACACCCCTGCCAGGATAGGCACTGCCCTCAGGAATTTCACCACAGCATTTCATCCTACTATTTTCTGCCAAAAATCCACGAAAGTGTCTAAACATCTCCTGCCATATCCCCACCTTCTAATGCTGAATCTGTAGCAGCAGCCTGCTTCCTCCACCAATTGAGCGTTCTGTACCACCTGTTCATAATCTCATCTGCCTGCATGGACACAAATCAGAGTACAGCCCCACCTGGGCCACTATCTGTAGCACAAACAAGTCCTTCCACCTACATTGCACTATTCTCCACTCATGGATTGTTTTCCTTTTAACTTTTATGTTTGGTTTGTGGTACACTTGCAGATTTGTTACATAGGTAAAATTGTGTCATGAGGCTTTGGTGTGTAGATTTGTCACTGAGGTAGTAAGCATAGTACCAAATAGGTACTTTTTCTGATCCTTTTTGTCCTTTTTTTTTTTTTCCTCTTTGTCCTTTTACCCTTCACACTCAACTAGGCCTCCAAGCCTGTTCTCTGCTTTGTGTCTATGTGTTTTGTTTTGTTTTGCTTTGTTTTCGAGATGGAGTCTTGGCACTGTCATCCAGGCTGGAGCACAGTAGCATGATCTCAGCTCACTGCAACCTCCCCCTCCTGGTTCAAGTGATTCTTCTGCCTCAGCCTTCCGAGTAGCTGGAATTATAGGCACCTACCCCCATGCCCAGCTCATTTTTTGTATTTTTAGTAGAGATAGGGTTTCACCATGTTGGCCAGGCTGGTCTCGAACTCCTGACCTAGTGATTCGCCTGCCTCCGCCTTCCAAAGTGCTGGGATTGCAGGCATGAGCCACCATGCCAAGCCTTTTTTTTTTTTTTTTTTTTTTTCAAATGGAGTCTTGCTCTGTCACTCAGGCTACAGTGCAGTGGCGTGATCTCACTGCAGCCTCTGCCTGCCAGGTTCAAGTGATTGTCCTGCCTTAGCTTCCTGAATAGCTGGGATTACAGGCACTCACCACCACACTTTGCTAATTTATTTATTTATTTATTTATATTTTTTATTTTTTAGACAGAGTTTCGCTCTTGTTACCCAGGCTGGAGTGCAATGGCGCAATCTCGGCTCACCACAACCTCCGCCTCCTGGGTTTAAGCAATTCTCCTGCCTCAGCCTCCCGAGCAGCTGGGTCTACAGGCATGTGCCACCATGCCCAGCTAATTTTTATATTTTTAGTAGAGACAGAGTTTCACCGTGTTGACCAGGATGGTCTTGATCTCTTGACCTCGTGATCCACCCGCCTCGGCCTCCCAAAGTGCTGGGATTACAGGCTTGAGCCACCGCGCCTGGCCCTAATTTATTTATTTTTAAAAATAGCAACAGGGTTTCACCATGTTAACCAGGCTGATCTCAAACTCCTGACCTCAACTGATCTGCCTGACTGTGCCTCCTAGAGTGCTGTGTGTTATTATTTAGCACTTACTTATAAATGAGAATATGTATTTGGTTTTTCATTTCTGCATTAGTTTGCTAAAGATGATGGTCTCCAGCTCCAGCCATGTTGCTGCAGAGGACATAATCTTGTTCTTTTTTTAGGGCCACACAGTATTTCATGATGTTTATACATCATATTGTGTTTTTATTTAAAATACTTCTTTTATTTTGGAGCCAGGATATCATTCTATTGCTCGGGCTGGAGTATAGTGGTGTGATCTTGGCTGACTGCAGCCCCAACATCCTGGGCTTAAGCAGTCCTCCTACCTCAGCCCCCAAAGTAGCTGGAACTATAGGCGTTTGCCACCACACTTAGCTAATTTTTCTTTTTGTAGTTTTTGTAGATGCAGAGTTTTGCTATGATGTCCCAGACTAGTTTCAAACTCCTGAGCTCAGACGATCCAACTGCCTTGGCTTCCTGATGTGCTGGGTTTACGGGTGTGAGCCATTGCACCTGACCATATGTTTTCTTTTCTTTTTTCTTTTTCTTTCCTTTTTTTTTTGTGTGTGTGAGACAGTCTTGCTCTGTTGCCCAGACTGGAGTGCAGTGGCACAATGTGGGCTCACTGCTGCCTCTGCCTTCCAGGTTGGAGCGATTCTCCTGCCTCAGCCTCCCAAGCAGCTGGTATTACCGGCATGCACCACCATGCCTAGCTAAATTTTTTGTGTGTTTTTTAGTAGTGACAGGGTTTTACCATGTTGGCCAGGCCGGTCTCAAACTCCTGATCTCAAATGATCTGCCCTCCTCGGCCTCCCAAAGTGCTAGGATTATAGTTTTCTTTATCCAGTCTACTATTTTGTTTCTGTCGTTGTTGTTGTTGTTGTTGTTGTTGTTGTTGTTGTTTGGAGACAGAGTCTTGCTCTGTTGCGCAGGCTGGAGTGCAGTGGCACAATCTCAGCTCACTGCAACCTCCACTTCCCGGGTTCAAGCAGTTATTCTGCCTCAGCCGCCTGAGTAACTGTGAGTACAGGTGTGTACCACCATGCCAGGCTAATTTTTTTTGTATTTTTAGTAGAGGTGGGGTTTCACCATGTTGGCCAGGCTGGTCTCGAACTCCTGACCTCAGGTGATCCACTCTCCTTGGCCTCCCAAAGTGCTGGGATTACAGGCATGAGCCACTATGCCTGGCCTCCAGTCTACTATTGATAGACATTTAGGTTGATTCCATGTCTTTCTTTACTCACAAGTACTCATGTGAATAGCGCTGCAATGAACATGCATATGCGTGTCTTTATAATAGAATAATTTATGGGTTTTTTGGCATATAGGGTATTTTTGGGGGCATTCATGTTGCTGAATCAAATGGTAATTTTGTTTTTAGTTCTCTGAGAAATTGTTCCACTGCTTTTGACAATGGTTGAACTACTTTGTACCCCCATTAACAGTGTATAAGTTTTTTTTTTTTTTTTTGAGATGAGTTTTGCTCTGTCACCTGGGCTGGAGTACAATGGCATGCTCTCATCTCACTGCAACCTTCACCTCCCGGGTTCAAGCGATTCTGCTGCCACAACTTCCCGACTAGCTGAGATTACAGGTAACTGCCACCATACCCAGCTAAGTTTTTGTATTTTTAGTAGAGACAGGGTTTCACCATGTTGGCCAGGCTGGTCTTAAACTCCTGACCTCAGGAGACCTGAGCACTCCGTCTCCCAAAGTGCTGGGATTACAGACATGAGCCACCACACCCAGCCATAAGTATTCCTTTTTTTTTTCTTTTCAGCCTTGCAAGCGTCTTTTTTTTTTTTTTTTTTAACTTTTTAGTAATAGCCATTCTGACTAGTGTGAGATTGTATCTCATTGTGATTTTTCTTTACATTTCTCTAATTATTAAGAATGAGCACTTTTTAATATGCTTGTTAGCCACATATATGTCTTCTCTTGAATATCTGTTCTTGCTTTTTCCCTGCTTAATGAGGTTTTTTTGTAAACTTGCTTAAGTTCTATATCGATTTTGGATATTAGACATTTGGCAGAAGCATAATTTGCAAATATTTTCTGTTATTCTGTAGATTGTCTTTTTACTCTGTTGACAGTTTCCTTTGCTGTGAAAAAGCTCTTTAGTTTAATTAGGTCCCATTTGTCCATTTTTGCTTTTGTTGCCATTGCTTTTGGTATCTTCATCATGCAATCTTTAATAGTCCTGTGTCTAGAATGGTATTTCCTAGATTATCTTCCAGGTTTTTTGTGTAATTTTGAGTGTCACATTTAAGTCTTTAATTTATCTTGAGTTGATTTTTGTATATAGTGTAAGGGAAAGGTCCAGTTTCAGTCTTCTACCACAGTGCTATCTAGTTATTCCAGCACCATTTATTAAAGAGGGAATTCTTCCTACATTCCTCTTGTCAACTTTGTAGAAGATCACATTGTTGTAGGTGTGTGGCATAATTTCTGGGGTCTCTATCGTATTGCATTGGTTTATGAGCCTGTTTTTTTGTACCAGTACCATGCTGCTTTGGTAACTGTAGTCCAGTAGTATAGTTTGAAGTCAGGTAATGTAATGCCTCCAGCTTTATTCTTTTTGCTTAGGATTGCCTTGGCTCTTCAAGACTTTTTTTGTTTGTTTCATATTAATTTTAAAATAATTTTATTTATTTTTTTCAGTTAAGAATCTTTTTGGTAATTTGATAAAATAGCATTAAATCTGTAAATTTCTGTGGGCAGTATGGCCATTTTAATGATACTGATCTTTTCTATCCATGAGCATTCACTGATCTTCCATTTGTGTCATCTTAGGCTTCTTTAAGCAGTGTTTTGTAATTCTTGTAATATAGATCTTTCACTTCCCTGGTTAGCTGTATTCCTAGATTTGTGATTTTTTTGTGGGAATTGTGAATGGGACTGGTTTTCATTTGGCTTGGACGTTTTTGATATACCAGGGATGCTACTGATTTTTATACATTTATTTTGTATCCTGGAACTTTCCTGAAGTTGTCATTTTAAAGTGCTTTTCTATAGAAAATATAGGGTTTTCTAGGTATAGAATCATGTCATCTGGAAATAGGGGTAGTTGAACTTCCTCTCTTCCCGTTTGGATGCATTTTTTGTTTGTTTGTTTTTTGCCTGACTGCTCTGGCCAGGACTTAAAATTCTATGTTAAAACCGAGTGGTGAGAGAAGGCATCCTTGTCTTTTGCCAGTTTTCAAGGAGAAATTCTCCTAGCTTGTGTCCATTCAGTATGTTGACTGCGGGTTTGTTGTAGATAATTCATTACTTTGAGGAATGTACCTTTAATGCCTAGTTTGTTGAAAGTTTTTTACATGAATTATGCTAAATTTTATCAAAAGCTTTTTCTGCCTCTATTGATAATCTTGTGGGTTTTGTGTTTAGTTTTGTTTTATGTGGTGAATAACATTTATTGATTTGTGTATGTTGAACCAACTTTGCATTTTAAAATAAAGCCTACTTGATTATAGTGAACTAGCTTTTTTTTTTTTCGAGACGGAGTTTCGCTCTTGTTACCCAGGCTGGAGTGCAATGGTGCGATCTCGGCTTACGGCAACCTCCGCCTCCTGGGTTCAGGCAATTCTCCTGCCTCAGCCTCCTGAGTAGCTGGGATTACAGGCACGCGCCACCATGCCCAGCTAAGTTTTTGTATTTTTAGTGGAGACGGGGTTTCACCATGTTGACCAGGATGGCCTCGATCTCTTGACCTCGTGATCCACCTGCCTCGGCCTCCCAAAGTGCTGGGATTACAGGCTTGAGCCACCGCACCCGGCCTGAACTAGCTTTTTGTTGTGCTACTGAATTTGGTTTTCCAGTATTTTTTGAGAATCTTTTCATCAATATTCATTGAGAATATTAGCCTGTATGAAGTTTTCTATTTTTTATTATCTCTGACAGGTTTTGTTATCTGAGTAATACTGTTCTTATATAATGAGTTGGGGAGGAGCTTCATCTCAATTTTTTTGAAAGAGTTTTTGTAAGAATGGTATCAGCTCTTTTTGTACATCTGGTAGATTTAGCAGTGAATCTGTCTTGTTCAGGACTTTTTTTTGTTTGGTAGGCTATTTATTACTAATTCAGTTTTGGAGCTTGTTATTGGTCTATTCAGGGATTCAATTCCTTTTTTGTTCAGTCTTGCGAGGATATATTTTGTCTATAAATTTTCATTTTTTCTAGAGTTTCTAGTTTGTTTTCATAGAAGTGTTCATGGTAGATTTCAAGTTATTTTTCTTTTTATAGGTTCATTGGTAATGTCCATTTTGTCATTTCTAATTGTATTTTTGTGAATCTTCCTTCTTCATTAATCTAGCTACTGGTTTATTTTATTACGTTTTTCAAAGATTTAACTTCTGAATTTATTTTTTTTAATTTTTATTTTTAGTAGAGACAGGGTTTCACCATGTTGGCCAGACTGGTCTTGAACTCCTGACCTCAAGTGATCCACCTGGCTTGTCCTCCCTAAGCGCTGGGGTTACAGGTTTGAGCCACCACGCCCGGTCTCTGAACTTCTTAATATTTTAGATAGTTTTTTTATGTCTAAATCTCCTTAAGTTCACATCTGATTTCAGTTATTTCTTGTCTTCTGATAGTTTAAGGGTTGATTTGCTCTTGCTTCTCTCATTCTTTTTTTTTTTTTTTTTTTTTTGAGACAGAGTTTTACTCTTGTTGCCCAGGCTGGAGTGCATTGGCATAATCTTGGCTCATTGCAACCTCCACCTCCTCTATCCAAGTGATTCTACAGCCTTGGCCTCCGGAGTAGCTGGGATTATAGGCATATGCCACCATGCCTGGCTAATTTTTGTATTTTTAGTAGAGATGGGGTTTCACCATGTTGACCAGGCTGGTCTTGAACTTGTCACCTCAAGTGATCTGCCCACCTTGGCCTCCCAAAGTGCTGCAATTACAGATGTGAGCCACCACGCCCAGCCTCATTCTTTTACTTATGATACTAGGTTATTAAATTGAGATCCTTCTAACTTCTTGATGTGAGCATTTAATGGCATAAATTTCCCTCTTAATACTGCCTCAGCTATGTTGTAGGGATTCTGGTATGTTCTTACTTGCTTTTGTTCTCATTTGTTTTAAGAAACTTCTTGATTCCTGTCTCAATTCTATTATTTACCCAAATGTCATTCAACTGCAGGTTTAAGTTTTATGTAATTGTGTGGCCCACTGCAACCTCTGCCTTGCGAGTTCAAGCGATTTTTCTGCCTTAGCCTCCTGAGTAGCTGGGATCACAGGTGTCTGCCACCATACTCAGCTAATTTGTGTAATTTTAGTAGAGCTGACATGGTTTTACCATGTGGGCCAAGTTGGTCTTGAATTGACCTGACTCAGCCTCCCAAAGTGTTGGGATTACTGGCGTGAGCCACCATGCCTGGCCGTTTATGTTGTTTTTAGAAGGAGAGTTTTGTAGATTTCTATTAGGATTATTTGATCAAGGATCGAATTTAGGTCCTAATATCTTGTTAATCTGCTGCCTCAATAATCTGTCTAATAGTGTCTGTGGGGTAGTGTCTGTGGGGTGTTGTTGTCTCCCACTATTACTGTGTCAGAATCGAAATCTGTCATGCACCACTATACCCTGCTAATTTTTGTATTTTTTTTAGTAGAGACGAGGTTTGGCCATGTTGGTCAGGCTGGTCTTGAACTCCTGTATTTTTCTGTGTGTCTCAGCACATCATACAGATTTGTCCTAGTTCAGTTGATGTTAATGATTCACTTGGTTAAATAACTCTCTGACACATTTTTTTCTTCCTATAGAATTATTTTTCTCTTCATTATTAAGTATCTTTATGCAGCTGATGTGCATAAACCATCACATTTAATCTGGAAATTGCCCTTCTGTCTTAGGTTTCTTTTGCATATATTTGTCTTTGGAAAATAAAGGTTCTCATCTTTGTTTATAGGTCAGAAAAGCTGGGAAAAACACAGGCTCTTCCACTTACTGGATGTTTCACAAAATATTCTCCTTGAGCCGAAAACATTGTCATTACTGGTGAGCTTGTTAAAAGTTCAGAAACTCAGACTTATTACAGATCTTCTGGAAAAAAAATCCGCAAAACAAGATCTCCAGTTTATTATTGTACACATTAAAATTTTAAAGCTGGCTTGTAACACATTTCTTTTCTATCTGAAAAATACACACCACTCATTTTGTATGATGTAAATATAGCACTCACAAATGTACATGTTTGTAGTTATGTCTTTAACTTTATACTTTATTATCTAGAAAAGGATCATATGTAAACTGCTATTGTGGATGTTATGCCACTGTCTTTTCTCAGAATTAGAGAATACATTTGAGAATATTCGTTTTGAAAATTATTTTATTGGATAATTTTAGTCACTCCTACAAGTAAAAAAAAGAAAAGTTCTCTTTACTTTCCCATTTCACCTTGAGTCAAATTAAAAATTCTGTCCAGGGCAAGTTGGTAAATATGTTTGTGTGGTGTGTGTGTGTGTGTGTTTTTTTCAGGGACCACTGACATTTAGGGATGTGGCCATAGAATTCTCTCTGGAGGAGTGGCAATGCCTGGACACTGCACAGCAGAATTTATATAGGCATGTGATGTTAGAGAACTACAGAAACCTGGTCTTCCTGGGTGAGGATAACTTCAATACATAATTTACAATATACCCTAAAGGTTTCATTTATCTTTTCTGTAGAATGGTTTTTGGAAATTTATGCTTTGCATAAATAAGTGTTAGATCCCTGTTTTCAAGAAAATCCTGGGGATTTGTTCATTTAGAAATGAATTTTTCTGTCCAGGCGCAATGACTTGAGACCAGACTGACCAACTGGTGACACCCATGTCTACTAAAAATACAAGAATTAGCCGGGTGTGGTCTCACATGCCTGTAATCCCAGCTACTCAGGAGGCTGAGGCAGGAGAATGGCTTGAACCTGGGAGGTGGAGGTTGCAGTGAGATGAGATCGTGCCATTGCACTCCAGCCTGGACAACAGAGCAAGACTCCATCTCAAAAAAAAAAAAAAAAAGGAAAAGAAATGAATTTCTTCAAGATATTTCATCTTGACCTGAACTTTCCACATTTCTGAGCTAATCTGTATCCTTCACTCTAGATTAGTGGTAATTCCAAAAATTTAGTGGCATAAAATATTGTTGCCCACACCTTAAAATCTAATTGCCACCACCAATTTTTGATTCAGTAGTACTGAGTAGTGAAATTAAGAACATTTCAAATTTAAAATATTTTCTAAATATTTAGAAATATATGATATCAATTAAATATTTTGGGATTAATTTACTAGAATATTTTATTACATCCTCTTTACTGAGCACATTACTAGGTTGGTAATTAGAGAATATGAGCAAGATTCATGTTACTCATTTTTAATAAAACAGGTATTGCTGTCTCTAAGCCAGACTTGATCACTTGTCTGGAGCAAGGAAAAGAGCCCTGGAATATGAAGAGACATGCGATGGTAGCCAAACCCCCAGGTAGGTGAGATAGTGAATACAACAGATGACACAGATGACAGGTCTAAAGGTCAACTAAGGGTCAAGGAGAAAGCCAATTCTTAAAATGTGATTTGGGTTTTTTTTCCTTTGCTCTCATATAGGGGCATCTTCTGTCTTACGCTTTTATTTATTTTTTCCCTTTAGACAGAGTCTCTCTCTGTCACCCAGGCTGGAGTTTAATGGTGACATCTCGACTTGCTGCAACCTGCATCTTCCAGGTTCAAGCAGTTCTCCTGCCTCAGCCTCCTGAGTAGCTGGGATTACAGGCAGGCGCCACCACACCCAGCTAATTTTTGTCTTTTCAGTAGAGACAGGGTTTCACAATGTTGGTCAGGTTGGTCTCAAACTCCTGACCTAGTGATCTGCCCACTTCAGCCTCCCAAAGTGCTAGGATTACAGGCATGAGCCACCACGCCCAGCCTCTGTTTTATGCTTTTACATTCTCTAAAGATTCTACTTTCTATTCAGTGATCTTTCTTCAAGTCTATGATAAGAGCTGACTAAAGTCCTCTTTATGGCATGTAAGAGACTGTACAATCTGACTCTTTTTCCATTGTTTCGGGGGACACACAGATATCTGCATAAGTTTGAGAAACTCTGTTAAACTGTTTTTCAAGTTCTCTTTTTGCATCACATCTGAAATATGTGAGAGTAGTGGTTTCTATTACTTTGGGGTTTTTTTGTTCGTTTTTCTATACATTCAATCATGTTTTTATTACTATAGTCTTGAAATATAGTTTGAAGTTATAACGTGTGATGTCCTACTTTGTTCTTGTTCCTCAAGATTGGTTTGGCTATTCAAGGTTTATTGTGATTACATGTAAATTTTAGGGTCGTATATTCCACTACTGTGAAAAAAATACCATTGCAATTTTGATAGGGAGTTTATTCAATCTGTAGATCACTTTGGTTAATACAGCACTTTAACAACATTTATTCTTTGAATCCATATACATAAAATATTTTTAAGTTTATTAGTGTCTTCTCTAATTTTTTTCACTGATACATCTTTTATTGGAAAGATTTTTTTAGGCTGGGTGTGGCTGTTCATGCCTGTAATCTCAGCATGTTTAGAGGCTGAGGTGGGCAGATCACTTGAGGTCAAGAGTTCGAGACCAGCCTTGCCAACATGGCGAAACACTGTCTCTACTAAATACACAAAAAATAAGCCTAGTGTGGTGATGTGTACCTGTAATCCCAGCTACTTGGGATTCTGAGGCAGGACAATCACCCCAGAGGTGGAGGTTGCAATGAGCTGAGATCACCCCGCTGCACTCCAGCCTGAGCAACAGAGAAAAACTGTCTCAAAAAAAAATTTTTTTTTTGGCTGGGTGTGGTGGTTCACGCCTATAATCCCAGAACTTTGGGAGGCCGAGGCGGGTGGATCACGAGGTCAAGAGATTGAGACCATCCTGGTCAACAAGGTGAAACCCCGTGTCTACTAAAAATACAAAAATTAGCTGGGCATGGTGGCGCGTGTCTGTAATCCCAGCTACTCGGGAGGGTGAGGCAGGAGAATTGCTTGAACCCAGAAGGCGGAGGTTGCGATGAGCAGAGATCACGCCATTGCACTCCAGCCTGGGTAACAAGAGCAAAATTCCGTCTCAAAAAAAAATTTTTACCTGCTTAAATTTCTTTTCAGAAATTTATGATTTAATACTATTGTAAATAAGATTGTTTTCTTTCTCTATTTTGTCAGGTTTTTTTAAGTGTATGAAACTATAACATACACTTGTATGTTGATTTTAAATTTTGCTAATTGACTGAATGTATTTATTAAACAGGTTTTCATGTACTAGTTGTGTTTTTTTTATTTTGTTTTGTTTTGTTTCTGTTCTTGTTGTTTTGACATAGAGTCTCACTCTGTTGCCAGGCTGGAGTGCAGTGGTGCTACCTCGGCTTACTACAACCTCCGACTCCCTGGTTCAAGCGATTCTCCTGCCTCAGCCTCCCAAGTAGCTGGGTTTACAGTCACATGCCATCATGCCCAGATAATTTTTGTAGTTTTGGTAGAGACAGGGTTTCACCATGTAGGCCAGGATGGTCTCAATCTCTTGACCTCATGATCCACCCACCTCAGCCTGCCAAAGTGCTGGAACTACAGGCATGAGTCACCCTACCTGACTAGTTGTGGTTTTTAAAAGATAAGATCATGTGATCTACTACAGCAACTTTTTACTTATTTGTCCTCAATTTTAATGGCTGGCTGGCTTTCTTCCTTCCTTCCTTCCACTAATTGTTCTAGTACATAGTCCATTGCTAGTTAAAATAGAAGCAGTTGACAATGGCACAATAATAGTTTTGCATTGGTGTCTATAGATTTGAAGAAACAAACACCTCTTCAAGTTTTTATAACCTGGTTTCGGGAGGTAAAGATCTTTTTATGTTGCACACCCAGGGTGATGGGATGCTCCCTGGGTTTGTAGTGGAGAGGGAGGGGTGTAGTGCTCACAGAGATGCTGGGTCTGCACCAGGGTCCACCTTTAGTTGGCTTGTTAGAAGAAGCTTGGGTAGTTGTAATTCCCATTATATTTCTGGACAGACTGAATGTTTCAGGACTTTGCTTTGCAGGGCAGACACCAGGACAGGTTTTCGCAGTTTGGTCTGCATATGATGGGCCTTATATCAGCATGTGGGTGAGTCTGGCTTTCACTGAGTACCAGACACGATTTTCCCAGGTCACTGTGTGGGTTTCTATGTAGGCACAACTGGCCATGAACTGTAGCTCAGGGAGCTGGAACTGAGTCATTGAACTGCTTCAGGGACCACAGTAAAGCCAAGGTCTCAGGCCTCCTACATGGCTATAAATGAGTATCTTCCTAGGCCTCTGAACATGCAGGACGTCTCCCAGACTATAGCTGGGAGAAGTTTGGGGTGGTTACAGAGTAGTTTCAGAATTCTCAGTGAGACTGAGTTAGGTGGGCCATTTCCTGGTGTGCCACTCAAGAACAGGGGTCCTATAGTGTGCCACCTGAACAAGGGTCTGCTTTCTGAAGAGAACACTTCTCAATCTTGGTCTTTAGCAGAGTTTCATAACTCCCTCCCTTGATCTCAAAGATTCTTTAAAGGCACCTATTTTGGAGGTGGGGTGTTGCTGCGTAATCCAGGATGGTCTTAAAATTCCTGCCTCAAGCAATTCTCCAACCTGAATGTACCATGTAGCTGTCATTATGGTGTGAGCCATGATGCCCGATTCTCTCAGAGGCATTTTTGTCAGGGATGGCTGACAAATTTTCTTGTTCTGAGGGGATAAGCAAATAGGGCACCTTTTATTTTTACATCTTATGGATGTCACTCTCCCTGTATCGTTTTACTTTCTATTTGCTAGTTCAAATTTTTCTGTAATTTTATTTTATATTTTTCTTTGAGATGAAATTTTTTGCTCTTGTGTCCCAGGCTGGACTGCAATGGCATGATCTCAGCTCACTGCAGCCGCTTCCTGGGTTTAAGTGATTCTCCTTCCTTAGCCTCCCAAATAGCTGCAATTACAGGCATGCGCCACCACACCCAGCTAATTTTGTATACTTAGAAGAGATGAGGTTTCACCATGTTGGTCAGGCTGATCTCAAACTCTTTACCTCAGGTGATCCACCTGCCTCTGCCTCTCAAAGTGCTGTGATTATAGGTGTAAGCCACCACAGCCGGTCTTATCTGTAATTTTAGATTCAGACATTTAAGACAATATGCTAGAATTTTCATGAGATGCCTGAAGTAAATTATGTAATTAGTATGCACTCCATATTTACTAAAATAGTAAATTATAAATTTAGGTTTGCTGCAGGTAAAAAGAAATTGCAGAATTTTCACACTTTTTTCAGCCTGTATCTAAATAATAACATAATTTATTCCCAAATGTTTATTTTACATATCAGAGGCTCTAACCATATTCTACAATATATATATAAATATTTTTTTTTCCCCCTTTATTTAGCAATGTAAGGCTATTCTTTTCTTCCAACATTGGATTACAGCAGTTTCGTTTTTTGTAAGAATAGCATATATTTAAAACATAAAAATGAACTCGTTTGTTTTAAATTCTCATTAGAATTTTCTATTGCAGTTATCTAGACAGATTGCCTTTCTCTTTGTTGTTTTTGAGACAGTCTTGCTCAGTTGCCCATGCTGGAGTGCAGTGGCGCAATCTCGGCTCACTGCAACCGCCACCTCCCAGGATTAAGTGCAATTCTCCTGCTTCAGCCTCCTGAGTAACTGGGATTATAGGCATGTGCCACCACACCCAGCTAATTTTTGCATTTTTAGTAGAGACGGAGTTTCACCATGTTGGTGAGGCTGGTCTCGAACTCTTGACCTCATCATCTACCCACCTTGGCCTCTCAAAGTGTTGGGATTACAGGCGTGAGCCACCGTGCCTGGCCTACAAATTCTATTTAATGGTACATCAGTGTTGCACACCAGATTTTATGGATAAACATTTTCTTTTATTGTTTTGACATTCCATATTAGTGTTATTTTATTGTAGGTTTCTTAACATCAGTTTATTGTGTTTGTCGGTTCTACTTCCATATTATTTCAGGCATTTGCAATTCTGTTTGTATACTTTAAGACATTGTGAGGTTTAATTAAGAGATAGTCGTATGTCTGTCACATCAGATAGATATGTAATCTGTGTGTTATTGTCTATAAATATGACCTCAATTTTGGTTATGTTTATGGCTTATTTCCTATATATTCTTTCTTGGCTGATTTTCAATGGTTGTTTTATCGAAGTGAGTAGTCATGGAAATAGTCTTTTCACCATGTGTATAGCAATGAATATATATTTTCTTTGTGTAAGAGTAACACTTTTGTTATTTGAAGGTAATTTTTGGAAAGATTTGTAATTGTGTTTGTTTGTTTGTTTTTGCTTTTCTTCTTGTAAAAACACATAACATAAAATTCGCCATCTTAAATCTATTTAAGTGTACATTTCAGGGCCAAGCATGGTGGGGGCTCATATCTGTAATTACAGGATTTTGAAA